TGAAGAACGGAAGTTTTTCAACTATTTTCGTATGTCAGTTGGCTCCTTTGACGAACTGCACGGCAAACTGCAGAATGTCAGAACGGCAAAACACATAATTTAGAAATTGTACACAACCTATTGAAATGCTAGCTATAACTTTAAGGTAATAAGTGTCTTTAACACCGACTGTTTTTACTTCCTTTGTAGAGGAGGGTATTGTAATCTTAAAAAGAATCATCCTCCGAGATTATTGGTTATTTTCACGTTGTAGAATCTCTAAACCACCAAATACATATTTGTTTTCCTAATTCCGTCGGTCAGTTTGATGGTCTGTCCGTTTGTCTGTTGGAAGTTGCTAAAAAGCTATTTTTTGAACGTATATTAAACCGCAAAAAGAAACACAACAGCAAACAACGCGAACAAAATGGTAGTAGTAGACAGGTTCCCGCACAATTGAAACCGTCTAGTATGAAAGGGTGCATTTGGCCACGTAGTCCACTAAGCGAAGATACGATACGGCTACCGTTCATCTGTAGTGGCACTGGACGGCTGCAACGCGATTAAAAATCGTGTCCATGCTGTAACCGTATAATGTGAAAGACCTCTACACTCTTCATAGGAGGCGAAAACGTGTAATGTGCAAATTCGTAAGGATGATGCCCTTCGCATCCCAAAAAATCGTCGCCATGACCTTTCCGGCCGATGGGACCGTCTTCGTTTTCTTTGGAACAGATTCACCGAGAGAAATCCATTGTTTTGATTGTTGCTTGGTTTATGGTGTGTAATGATGAATCCAGGTTTCATCAACGGTGGCAATTCGATGCAAAAGGTCCTTCTGATCCCACTTAAATTGCTCCAAACACTGCTTCGAAGTTAACAGCCGCATCCGCTTGTTGTCCATCGTAAGCAATCGCGGCACTCATCGGGCCGACAATTTTTTCATCGCCAACTTATCATGTAAAATACTTTGCCACTTGGCGCACTTTCGTTCGTCGATCAGCGACAATCATGTCGTGGACTTTTCCAATGATTTCCTCTGTAACCACGTCTACTGGCCGTCCTGGTCGCTTCTCATCAAAGATGGATGTTCACCCACGTTTAAATTCGTTGAACCAATATCTAACTGTGGCGATAGATGGCGAAATGTCCCCATAAACAGCATCCAACTTTGCCTTTAGTTTATTCCATCTTAGCCAAAATCACGAAACACATCTCACTCGAATGACTGCCAAATCCAAACTAACCTATCAATCAGTCTGAAATTTGTTTTGGCGTCGTTTGGCAGATGACAGCACACGATGATAACACCAACTTCCCTCAGGACCGTCATCTGTCTTCAAACACGGGTACTTACTGAACCGTCCTCGTACATTGACATAACCTAATATTAGAAACGACACTGCCACGGTAAATCACTTTAATTTTATATTACGGTTAATATGTTTACTATTCTTGCCCGAATCTCAAAAGACGTGTACATATGAACAAAAAGTGAGCAAAATACTGAATTAAGTAAGAGAATGGAACGACGACGCGAGGCTTCTACGAAGTCCCTTTGTATTTATTTTAACGGTAGATGTTGCAAGAAATGACTTTCTGGCCGGACGAGGATTCCGCAAGATCCTTTGTGTTGAGATGTAAGCAAACAAGAAAACGTTGAGTAATTACTTAAGTGTAATTCCGTGACGTTCTGTGCCGGACTATTAGACAAGGAATTCTCAAGGGAATACGCAACAAATAAAGAAATTCCTCTTGTTCTGCAATTTGCGATTGTCTCCCGAGTAGCAACCGTTTGAACTTAAATTGCCTTGAGCATTTACGTGAAATAAAGCTTTTGAATTTTACTGATTATTCTGTACGTACTATAATGTTCATTAGATATTTTTAGGTAAAGCTTCTTTCCAATTAATCGCTCCATTAAAATAAACAAGCGAGCTTGCCAGAACTCAGAACTTTGACGTGGAAACATATTAACGGATCCCATAAAACAAACAAAGTGTGCTAAGGATTCAAGTTACTATTGTATTATAGAAACTAATTAGGTTAATAAATAAAATCATTAATAATTTGTGTTACCAGCACAGTTACGTACTTAATGTATATTCTTCTGAAAATAATTTACATGTCCCAATTCCCAAATCACATAGTGTCATCCTAGACCTGAATGTCGTTAAGTCTTTTTAAACTCTACGTCTTTTCTGTAGAAATCATTCACACATCTTCTATCATGAATGCAGTGTTTGACCATTGATTTATCGGTTTACATTGTAAAATTGATCTCCATATATTTTGCGGTTAATATACAGCCTATATCCAGCCTAAAAGTACACCCTAAATATTAGTGAATGAATTTTTGACATTAGATGAGTACAGTTTTGGAGATCACTTTCTTCATCTAAATTTTATAAAAACTAAATTTACAAAATTTATCTGTTTATAATATTAGTATAGATAAGGACTGAAAAGTTCATTAATCATCATAATAATTCATCATCTTCATCATAAGGTCGTCGGTCCTAAGACTGGTTCTTTCCTATCCTGAACTAATCTTCGCATTTCCCTTAAACTAGAACATCCCGCATCCATAGCTATTTGCGAACATTAATCTAATCTAAGTCTAATTATTAATAGCAGTTATCATTTTTATTAAATTGCCTTAATATTATCTGTTGGTTATATTAAGATTGGCAATGGTTCGGTGGTTTAATTGTAACAGTAATGGAAAATAGTAAAATTCCAATTGTACTTTATTGATCAGTAACAACAGAAAAACGTGTTAACACAACGGAGCTTCTTAGGAACTAATTTTTAAAATGTACAAGTCTCTGCAGCCTCCTAGGGCCATAAAACCTAAAGTGACCTCGACAATACGAATACATATTTCTATATAACTAAACTCATCGTTGATTTCCAACATTATTTGCAGATAAAGATAAAATGATGGCAAATAGATATTGTTATGTTCGTGGGTTTAATAAAATTACTTCTAATACTGATAACGACAAAAACTATTTATTTACACTAATGTTGATAAATCACTATTCACTGCGCTATTTATTTCACTGCTATCACAGTCAATTTACATATTTCTCGATTCACTTTTGCAACGGTCAATTTATTTCTCTAGCTTTCGGCAATCGTCTCTTCCTTTAAATACTGTTTTGTTTACTTTCGGGAGCCTTCTGAAAACATCCGGATAGTTTATTTTTTCTTTGAACTGTTTAACTGCTTTCCCAGAACGCAGGTACGACACACACATACGGCGCACATGAAGAAAGGCGCCCCAACTAGTCGACGAATCGATAAGCCGTTCACGCACACGTGTGTCCGATCGCACACAAACACACTCGTGCTCGCTATAATATGATACTAAATACAGGCTACTACGTCAAATATTTCTAAAATTTGAGGAGGAATACCTGTTGTATGAATGAAATCAGAGAATTGCAGTGAATAGGCATCTACTTTGTTTTGTATCATGAAAATTTCACAAAAGAGAAAAATAGTAACTTCCAAATACAAGCAGGGTTTCGTCATCTAATCAGTATTAGCTGATACTAAAGTATTTTAAGTGTTACACAAAGTCTTAAAAGGTATTTATTCCAACCATATTAATGAGAACTTTTAAGTGCTTCACTAGAAATTTTTAGAAACTATCAGACGCGGATCACGATTTCGATCTTATTTGATCTCTTCAGCGCACCATGGGCAGGCTCGATAAATTACTATCCAACTGATGAAATATTGCCATCTAGTGGGCATTTACTGCTACTGAAATATTTCATGTGTCAGACAAAAGCTTGCTTCCAAGATATTACATCAATTCTATAAGCAACTACTAACGATAAGTGTAGATATAATTTCTTGATAACCATGTATGTATTCGTATATACGTGAATTATAAAACCGAAAACTCTATTCAAATAGCAGACCTACGATGAATAAAGGCTACTCCTAAGTCGCCTGTATGTTAACAAAAAGTTGTCTACGCTAAAAAAGTAGCAAAGTCCAATTTGAACGGTCCCAAAGGCCTTGCAGAGATGATCGATCCTTTGTCGATGCCTTTGTTAAGAACCCTTTTCTATCACACTTCTTCGCAATAATTTACAACATCTTGAACAAAGCTGTATCGACGCCGACGCCGACGCCTACCCAACAGCTTATGCCCCAATAGTTCTTTTCTCATCCCAGGGCGATTTCGTCTCTTCAAATTTGAATGTCTCCAACGAATCATCCATCATATATAATATTGTTTTAGTGTACGGAGGTTCCTACGTGGGCGGGTCTAAATGTAGGGCGTAGTTGGTTGCATACATTATAATGACATGTGAGACATGACATATACGATAGTATACATCACAAACAAAACATGTTATGGTTTGAGAGCTTTGCTTAGGCTTATGTCATGATAATTCCTATTATGACCTAACCAGTTTCAGGTGCTATTTATCATTGACATTGATACCGTCTCAGTTTGGACGGTTGGGTCAGTTTTCGGCTATTACTTAAAGAAGAAATGCATGAAATGCCGTAGAGGCTATCGCACTAAATCTTTATCTATCGAAACAGGATAACTGATACAACAATCCTCTGGAGTTGACGATTCAAAAAATTGATAAAAAATTCGAATTGTGTCAGTTTTTTTTTTCAATAACTAGGGTGTTATCATCCAATCAGAATATTTAATTAAAAACTAACTATCTCGGCGTATTCGGAATAGAATTAGATTATTGGAAAAAAGTGGGCGGCTATACATTCGGGTGTATGCATTGTTGCATATACTCTAATGATCATTAAATTCGCGTGTATAATTAGTTGCATATACATACACAAAGAGTATCACCGTATCGTCGAAATTTGAACGGATTGGGTTAATCATTGACACTTTCTTATAGTTTTACAATTTTCCAGCGAAATCCGTACAAATTATTATATTCTTCTATCAGACAAACAGTTAGGTTTTCTTTATGCTGAACTTAATGGACGATAAACAAGATTTAGACTCCTGAAAAACTTACCGAAGAATGTCGCCCAGCTTAGCAGCATCTTCAGTCCAAACGATTTCCTGAGTGAGTTCATTGTTCGTTAATCAACTTTAAGTCCTTTATGACTCGTAATAAACACATAGTTCCAGTCCACCTTTCAGTTCCTGTCCGCTTTGTACGAAACACGAAATGAATTTAACCGTGAAAATGTTCAGGCCGTGAAACGAAAATGTCGGTGAAATACGAGGACGACATCCAATTACGTTCACTATTTTCATTTCTCTCACGAGTGTACGACCTCAAGGGAACAGTGACAGGTGTCTCTGCTGTAGTCAAGTTGATTCACCTGAGTCGGTTGAAATCTCACCAACCACCCCACTGTTAAGTCCCGACGGAACTGCAAGAAAACAATTTCTGTCAATACAACTACATACACAGGTTACCGACATACACATACATATGTAATACTTAACATTTAGTTAAAGATAGGTCCCAAAAAATTTAACAAACGTTTGACATTTAAAATTGAGGATTCTCAATAATGCCAGTCCTGTCCAGTCGAATAATAAAACTAATGGGAGTTTTTATTCTTAGTCCATAGCAACAAACATTTTAATACTCTTCTTATCACTTTACAAAAATGAATTGTTAAATAGTCAGTTATCATTTGGGTTACAAATAAACCACAAATCTGCTGACCTTAAACGGTCTAAAAAGTTATGAACGAATGCCGTAAGCGATCGATACCGGCGGCGCCATTCGTATTCCTGAAAGTCGACAGACGCAGGTCATAAATTATACTAGCGCACAAGACTGACCGGACAATGAGGATTCTCAACAATGCCAGTCCTGTCCAATAGAATAATGAAACTAATGGGAGTTTTTGTTCTTAGTCCAAGTAGCAACAAACATTTTCATACTCTTCTTATCACTTTACAAAAATGAATTGTTGAATAGTCAGTTATCATTTGGGTTACAAATAAACCACAAATCTGCTGACCTTAAACGGTCTAAAAAGTTATGAACGAATGCCGTAAGCGATCGATACCGGCGGCGCCATTCGTATTCCTGAAAGTCGACAGACGCAGGTCATAAATTATACTAGCGCACAAGACTGACCGGACAATGAGGATTCTCAACAATGCCAGTCCTGTCCAATAGAATAATGAAACTAATGGGAGTTTTTGTTCTTAGTCCAAGTAGCAACAAACATTTTCATACTCTTCTTATCACTTTACAAAAATGAATTGTTGAATAATAAGTTATCACTTGGATAACAAATCAACCACAAATCTGCTAACCTTAAACAGTCTAAGTTATTAACGAATACCGCAAGCAATCGATACCGGCGGCGCCATTCGTGTGAAAATCAACAGACGCAGATCGTAAATTATACTAGCGTACAAGACTGACTGGACAATAAAGAAGTTGGTTGCAGAAGTTTCTGGAAATAGTCAAGAATATTCCACAGCAGTATTAATAATTCGACGCAAACGAGAAAATTGAATAGTGAGAGAAATCTACAGTAACATGAATAATCTTATGTAAATGAGACTTTTATTATTAAGAATGCAAATGAAAATGATTGAAAATTTGAAAATAATTTGCCAATATCTACAAACATGAACTAAAATTTTAAAAACGGAATCATCCATTAAATTTTCTACCCTTAGAAGGGGAATATGTTCTTCAATTTTAAATACCAGCCTTGAGATACAGCGCACCCAATGAAAAAAGAAATACAGTTGAACTGAAGTTAGTTTACCTTTTCAAATTTTTCATTTAAAATTCTCAATAAAACATAACATAAAATACCGTAAACAGATGTGTATTGAAATAGGTACAACGAAAATAAAACAAAACTGTTTTCCGATAAAGAATTTGTAAAGCTCAGACTTAATCAAAGTACATGTACGTTGTATGCAATATGATGTAATAAAAAGAAAAATCTGCTACCCGTATTCACTGCTTGAAAAATATTTACCATACGCTAGATAAATTTATGATATTCTCCGAACTTCATTTCGGCTGGTAGGTAATCTACGTGTAACTATTCAGTTTGGAAAAAGGTAAAAGAGGCGATGAGAAATACCTCAAGTCTCAAGAAAATTATACAATGGAATGTAAATGCAACATTTTTAATGAATAATTTATGCCATCCTTTTGACTCGTTTAAAAAGTTTCTGGAATGTGATGACGAACCAGAGGAATCTTTTTATTAATTTGCAAAACCTGAATAATTATCTAATAAATTTCTAGTAAAGTAAGGTGTGTAAAATGGAACGTTAAAGTTTAGAAGCGTTCGAAATGTAGTGTTACAGGGGAATGATGAGGATACCGTGGATAGAGAAGGTTAGAAATGAAGAGGTATTAGAAAGAATAGGAGAACAGAGGACCCTATGGAAGTCATGAAAAATAGGCGAGATATGTTGGTCGAACACCTTCTCAGGCATGAAGGTCCTAGATCAGATTACTGTTCACAAATAGTTAAGGATGTGGGATGTTCTAGTTTTAGGGAAATGCGAACATTAGCTCAGGATAGGAAAGAGTGGAGGTGCGTGTCCAACCCGTCTTAGGACTGACGACTGTATGATAATAATGGTTTTGCCGTTTATTCGATTTGGACAGCTCCTTGGCTTTCCTTGAAAACAATCGTCATAACTTTCCCAGCCGAAGGAATACGTACATTTGCACGGTTTTTCCTTGGTGGAAGAGCGCGTTATCTGAATTCTATTATTCTATGGTAGCAACTTATTGCACTTATTGGTGTGTAGAAAACAGGGAATCACCGTTGAGTTGGTCGAGTAATTTTGTACGTGACTCGTGGGGATCATGCAATCTTCACATAACCTTTCCACACGGCTGGACCCTAGGGGCCCTTTTACAGCAAGGAATCCGTTCTGGATGCTGTGCGGGGAAATCATTATATTCCTGACTTTTCGTGAAAGCACACGTGTTTTGGGGTTAACGCACAATTTTTGAATTTGATTTCCTCTGGGCAATTTTTAATGGTTTTTGAGTAGTGTTCTTTCGTGAAATATTGTGCCCTACTAAGTGCTGTTGGGAAACCCCACTGGCCAACGCCCATTGGTTAATTTTTGGTAATTCCAACCCTCAGTGGGTGAGTACTTTGGTTTGATGTTTGACCCAGCGAATATTTGGTGCAATCCGACCCCCATTTGCTTGGTCTATTTCAATCTGGGGTTTGTTCCACGTTAATTTTTGGAGTTTGATACATGTTGCCGTACAGGCCACCAGGGTTTTAAAGTTAAAACCACCCCCAATATTCAAGTACTAATACATCTGAAGCTTGGGGAATTCCATCTACTGGATTTACCAATAATTTTGTACTTTTGTTTTGTATGCCGCAATATTGCGCAACATTGGAAGTGCACGCTTTTGAATTTGTGTAGCTATTGTTGAGCCAGTGTTTGCTGGCTTACCCGATTTTTCCGAAAAACAAACAATTCTGATATCTGGAATTGATTTGGGTATGTGGTAGTTTCTGGATGCCTGACGCAACAACCCTATTACCCTCCTCAACTTACCGATTGACATGGAATTAACTTTATTTTTATGACCTTTTTTTTTGGATTTATGAATTGTTCATCGAGTTTTCCTATTTTGTGGATTTGTTATTTTTTTACATTGCAACTGTGTTTTTTATTATCTACTTTATTTTGCTGGTGTTGTATTACTTTTTATATTCGATTATTATTAATATTTCAATATACATTTATCATTTTTATGAGTTGTTCATTTTGATAAAGAGAACTTCGGTGTCTCTAGGTGGTCAGGTGGACACAGCCTTTGCTACCCCAAGGTAACTTAATATTTTGGTGAGTTTTTCCCATTCTTTTTTAACGGGTTACGCCCGAGTTTTGTTCAGTGATTAAATTCTGTTTCTTTTCAGTTCCACAGCTAAATTTTTTTCTCCTTAAAATATATTTTGAAATAAAAGTTTTAAGTACATGAGCATAAGTGATTCGTTACAGTCCGCAGTCCACTGTATTGATTGTGTTTTTCTTTCTTGAATATAACTCCGGAAAACATTACCATCAATTTACTCAAAAAACTACCAAATAACAACTGAGCGTCCAGAATTGCTGAAATTTTGGTGAACAGTCGTCAAAGCATATGCAAACATGCTTCCCACATTTTGTTGACGATTCCTGTCATAACAATGTTCAGGTTAGAAACTTTTCAAACACCTCACGTAAGAAAATCGTTTAGTAATAAATCACTGCCAAACCACGCACATTCTACATAATGGAGAAATTCGGCAATGGAAAATTAGTTAATCAAGTAGTTTAGACACCTACTGGCGGCATTAAAGCCACAACTTCTAAATTCAACCCAATAGTTCAGCTGGTGCCAAAGAGGATGTTCCCTCTAGTTTACAAAATATTGTTCAACACCGATCCTTAATATTAATAAAATGCTCTTGTTCATATTTAAAATTTTGTTTCCTGCAAGTGATCTCCTAAAGTCAATAATTATTTAACGAATTACGGGGCAATTAGCCAGAGAATACTATTGTAAGTCAAAAGCGTCAATAAGGTGCTACAGTCTATTTCAATTTACAATTTATTATAATTGTGACCTTGAAGAAATCTGCGCGAAGATAGAAGGAATACACATTAGGCGTGAGCAAGACAGAAATAGTTGGAACAAGCTTGAACGAGCAGAGCTCTCGATGGGAGGTCTCAGGAGATCGGTTAGAAATGTACAGTACCAGACGAAAATGTTTAGCAATTTCTTAAAACAAAAATGTATATAAATTAACAATAGAAAACAAAGCAAAAGTTTTATGGGTGTGTAGAACGTTAAGTTAATTCACTTGTTATTATTTTTAGCAAAATATGCTTTTAAATAAAACATATTCTTAAATTTTAACGAGGCAGTTTAAATAATTTTGCAATTAGTACTGTACACTTTTGTCTACTTCTCGCTCGATGATCGGTGGAGAAATGAGCTCCGCAGATAAATATGATTGAATTTGGAATTATGCTACGGCGCATCCTAATAAAGGGAAGGGGCATATCTCTAACTTCTTGAAACGAACCGTAAAAACATACCTATCCGATTAGGAATAAATGATATAATGTACTTAAGTATAGATTTTGAGCAACATCGTGGAGAAGTTAACATTGGGAAGGAAATTGGTCAAGGACATATATCGTCAACGTTACTTTTCAATGTCTATATGCAACCAGTATTGTAGATTTACAGATTATATAGCAGTATCGGCAGAAATTACAGGCAGATTTATGTATTTAAAATGGAAGCGGTATTGACACAAGAGTCAGTACGAAAATAGGAAACAAGAAATTAGAAGTAACCAATTTTGGATAGATTTCGAAAATTTTTTACCAGACAAGAACCTGAATTTCAGTC